TGTATGGTGATTAACTTAACAATAAAAAAATTAAAAAATAAAATAAAATAAAAAAAGGAGATAGAATCTAGATGTATACTGAGTGAGTCTTAGATATATGTTTAAGCGGAAACAAAACAGGTTTCAAAACTTGTACCCATAATGTTATCCTACTTTTTAAAGTAAAAAAATTCTTACAAGTATATATTACCTTATACATAGAAAAACAAAAGATTGGGGAAGTGTGGATTTTTACTTCCTAATTAAATTTTTTTTGTATTGAATTGTTGTTTTAATGAGGATGGACTTTGAGTACTCCAAAAAAAAATCAACACAGAAGAATTTTTAATAAGACTATTTTGGGGCTTAGAAATCAATTTTTCCATACCTTCATTTAACAATATTCATTCATCAAACTATTGTGTTTGGTATTGCAGAGACAGAGATAAATAAAATACATCTTCTGCCTTCAAATTTATCACAGTCTGGTGGTTTTTAAACTGCCCTGTGCTTCAGGGGTAGAATAAATGTTTGATCTGAGTTTCATTTTCAAAATATATTTTAAATATTAAAACATCTGTAACAAAATAAATTAATATAGTAAATTTTAATACATTGAGACCACCACTTGTTTTTTTTTCTTAAAGATTTATTTGTTATTTTCTTTTAGAGAGAGAGAGGGTGTGTGCATGTGAGCTGGGCAGGGAAAGACAGAGAGAAACTCAAGCAAACTCCCTAATGAGTATCGGGAGCCCAACATGGGGCTCAATCCCACGACCCTGAGATCATGACCTGAGTTGAAACCAACAGTTGGATGCTTAACCCACTGAGCCACCCAGGTGCCCCAAGGGACCACCCCTTGTTAATGTCTACTGTCAGGTAAACTGTTGTTTTTGTCAGACATAAATTTTTCCTGTCCTTTTAAAGCATATATTTGAATTTATTATAAACATGTCATTACATAGAAAGGTTGTAGCTTTACATTGGTCTTTTTTTTTGTTTTTAAAGATTATTTATTTATTTATTTGACAGAGAGAGAGACAGCGAAAGAGGGAACACAAGCAGGGGGAGTGGGAGAGGGAGAAGCAGGCTTCCCGTGGAGCAGGGAGCCCGATGCAGGGCTGGATCCCAGGACCCTGGGATCATGACCTGAGCTGAAGGCAGACGCTTAATGACTGAGCCACCCAGGCGCCCCTTACCTTGGTCTTTTTAAAATCCAATGTGCATATGTCTGCTTCTAGAAAAATCTACAGGTGACTGCGACCATAGCATAAGTGCTGAGCATAATTAAATATACAGCAGAGTTCATCTGCCTGAAATACATTCTTTTTTTTTTTAAAGTAAACTCTACATCCAATGTGGGATTTGAACTCACACCCCGAGATCAAGAATTGCATGCTTTACCAACTGAGCCAGACAGGCGCCCCCTGATGTACATTCTTATGTGCAATAACAAATAAATGGATAACGTGTCAGGTAGCTTAGGTAGAGTTATGCAGATTCTTAAATTTAGAGCTTTATAAGTTTCCAGTATTTGACTTTTATAATAAAAGATATGAACAGTTGCTTATTCTTGTGAACTGAGTTTTAAAAGATTTTATTATGGACACTTTGAAATAGACACAAAGTAAACAACAGAATAATGAACAACTTTATACTTCTCACCCAGCTTCAACAATTATGAATATTCTTCTTTTTTAAAGATTTTAGTTATTTATTTGAGAGAGAGAATGAGAGAGAGAGAGCACATGAGAGGGGGGAGGGTCAG